ACGACCTGGCTACGCAGCGGTCGTCACAGGGTTACACCTTCAGCCTTGGCTCTGGTTCTGTCTCGTGGCGGTCCACCCGCTCTTCTTCTGTTCTCGGCTCTAGTTGTGAGGCTGAGATCTACGCCACAGCCATGGCTGCACAGGAGTTACGCTGGCTCACCTACCTGCTGACTGACTTGGGAGAGCGGCCTAGTTCTCCTCCAGTTCTGTACGGTGACAACAAGGCGGCTCTTGCCTTGTGTCAGGAGCACAGACTGGAGCACAGGACGAAGCACATTGCTCTTCGCTACTTTCTTGCTCGAGAGCTTCAGCAGCGCGGTCAGCTTCGGCTTGTGTACGTGGACTCGAAGGCCAACACTGCTGATATCTTCACCAAGGCGCTCCCGCCTAGTGATCATCAGTGGCACTGTACTTCTTTAGGCCTTGTGTCCACGTTTCCTCACTTGCTCACTGCTTGACATTCTTTGTACTGTACTTTATATTTGTCTTGCTGCTTGTCCTGTTCTATATCTAGCACTACATGTGAACTGGCCTTGTGGCCTTTGTTTGTGCTCGGAGTGTGGTGACGTTGTGATCCACCCTGGGCTTGTTTTTGCTTTGCTGGACTGGTCTTGTGACCCTTTGCTCTCCCCCACTTTGCCTATGGGGGTGTGTTAAGTTGTAATGTGTTATTTATATGTAGGTAGGCTGTAGTGGGGTAGCCAATACAGGGTACAAACCCAACTAGGGTTAGCTACTTGTACCCAACTGTTTCTTTCAATCCATTCATTCTTGCCTAGTTCTGTTAACAGGTGGTGGGGTTGGCTTGGCTGGTGTAGCGGGGGATCGGAAATGTCAAGGGGAAGAGATCGTGCGAAGGCGGGAAACATACACGGGGAAAAATTCAACGGAGACAAAATCCTCGGGGAAAAAATTCCCCCCGAAACGGAACACCCCCCCATACACCCCCCCCCCCCCCCCCCCCCCCCAAAAAATCCGCGTCAGGGCAGGCCTCGACATTCATCCTGACGCTACAGGGGAGAACAGATCGGCCATCCTGAAACTCCTAGTCATTTCACATAAAAACATCCTGTGACCTCAGGGTTAAAATTATGACTATTCTGAAATTGCAGGGTAAATACAGAAGTGCATCCTGAATTCAAGGTAATCAGGATGTTTTGCCCTGATAACGTGGGCCCTGGATAAAAACACTTGTAAAAACCACTAAATTATTACCATCATATTACTCACTCAGTAAAATCATCCGTCATTTCCACACTTGGTGTGGGAGGTGCGAGCGTGATTGATTCTGCATTTTCTGTTGTGTCAATAATGCCATCATGTGCTCTGTTTGCAAGTACACCACTATTTGTTCTGTCAGTCATATACAGTCAATAAATATGCAACTACTTGTCAAGATAGTAGCTAGAGGTGAGGAGCCATGCTAGGGTGAAGAGGAGAAAGTGTCGAGAGAGTTTAGGCAAGGAAAGAGGGGTTTCACTATAGCACACAAGGTACATATAGCAAAGCAACAAAGAAGGTGCACCACCAACTCTTAATAATAATAACTACAGTACCTACAGCACGCAGGGTATATATTAAACATATTGTTTGACACACCCCCTTAGCCTGCGTGCGGTAGAAACTGGTGCAGCCAGCACCCCCTGAACGAGCAAACCAAGCGCTGTGGAAGAAGGCAGAGAAGTGAGGAAGGTGAGAGGAGAGGAGAGAAGAGGAGAGGAGAGGAGAGGAGAGGAGAGAAGAGGAGAGGAGAGGAGAGGAGAGGAGAGGAGGTGGGGGGCCAGGACCGGCGGACCCGCTTACGAACCTCCTTTTACAAAGGGGAGGTGAGAGAGGGAAGGGAGAGGAGGTGGGCTAGGCGGGCTTGAGCGCGAAAGCTCATAGCGATCCCCCCCCGTTAAGAACCCCCAAGTCCCGATGAGGAGAGGAGGTGGGCTAGGCGGGCATGAGCGCGCACGCTCAATGCGATCCCCCCCCGTTAAGAACCCCCTAGTCCTCACCCCCCTCGTCACTCAACCCCGTCAACCTCACACCTTCCGCACCTGTCTTCTCCCGCCACCCCCTCACCCTTCTGCACTTCTCTCCCCCCCCCCTTCTCTACGGCGACAATCCCTGCAGTAAGAGAGAGGGGAGGGACGGGCTGCAGGCAGCTCACACACGCCACCCACACATCTCCCCCTCCTCCCTTACCCTCTCACATCCCCCCTTACCCTCTCTCCCCCCCCCCCCCCTACAGCAACAGTTGCTGCAGGGAGAGAGGAAGAGGGAGGGGAGGGAGGAGTGGCAGGCTCCTCACACCCGCCCCCCCCCCACAACCCCTTCCCCCTCCCTCCCCCCTCCCCACGACGGAAGCCGCGGAAGGGAGGGCGGGGGGGGTGGGGCGGCGGTAGCTGCTGCTGGCGCTGGCGGCTGGCCGCGGCGCTGGCCTCCGCGCTGGCGGATTGCGGGGTGACGGGGGCGACGAAACGGGGGCCGCGTGGCGACGAAATGGGAGCCGCGTGGCGACGAAACGGCGAGGCAGCGGGCGACGGGCAGGGCGTCCGCGGGGCAGCCGACGGGGCGTCCGCGAGGCAGCCGACGTGGCACGTTCGGGGGGATGGGCAGGGCGCGCGCGACGGGCGAACGGGGAGAAAAAAAAAAAAAATAGCGCATTTCGCGCTGTAGTACGGGCGGGCCCATGATTCTTAAAAAAAAGAGAAGGTTCCGGGAAAGAACCAGCTCTGTACCATGTCAAGATAGTAGCTAGAGGTGAGGAGCCATGCTAGGGTGAAGAGGAGAAAGTGTCGAGAGAGTTTAGGCAAGGAAAGAGGGGTTTCACTATAGCACACAAGGTACATATAGCAAAGCAACAAAGAAGGTGCACCACCAACTCTTAATAATAATAACTACAGTACCTACAGCACGCAGGGTATATATTAAACATATTGTTTGACACTACTTGCTACCTAACAAAAAATACTCAGCTATTTGCGCACCTCTAGCACACTAGCTATCTGCATCTAACATAACTAGGATTGTCCCATCCCATATCAGGGGCATAGAAGCCTGCTAAATGTGTTTAGCACCCTCATCTATGGTACAAGGCTACTGGGCTGCTTCAGCAGCACAGTGATTCCATCAGCAATGAAGCTCCACTTTTATGAACCAACACCATCACCACCACCTCCACCACATGCCTTCTCAGTCAATGTCTGAGCACCACTGTTCTGTCACGTTCCTTGATGCCAACCGTCCACAATGGTTCCTGCGAGCATGCTTCATTTCTCTCTGCTGAACAGCCGTTTACGGCCTCCAAGGAGGTCGTTTTGCAGCTACCTTGGAAGTCCTGGTAGGCCCTTTCCCCGAGCTAGCAGAGACAAGACGACCCCCTTTGCTCTCTTGCTGCCGTGCTGTGCTGCTCCTTGAAGATTCTTGTCGGACAAGCCTAGCTCGCGGTGCATCCGCTGCCTTGACCTCTCCGTTAACCACTTTCCCACCTGCTCGTATGCTGCATGGCCTGGGAATCCGCGAGGGGAGTTCACTCGCATTGCCAGATGCCATTCGCCTCACAGGTTGCTGGACAGCAGAGGACTCGCGTGTGCTTGATTTCATGTCATCACCACCCATCGCCTTCACACTGGATGACTTTAACGCACTGTTGCTGCAGTCGGCGTTCACACCATTGAACGCTTCGCCGAAGCTGCTGCTGTCGCTGCTGCTCGAGGTACTTGAAGTGCTGCCGATGCTGCTGAACAACGTCAGGGTGCTAATCGGCGAGCACTGCGGAGTGCTCTTGTTTTCGTTACAGACGGCGGTGCTGCTGCCAGCAGGGGTGTCGTCGGTGCTGGCACTGCTTTGCTCGCGCTCCTTGACTTCGCACATGGAGTCACGCGCGTCAGTGCCGTTTGCAGCTGCGCATCGAGTCGTGGAGGCCACCGGTGCTTTCGTCTGGGACTGCTTTACAGCACTGCGGGACTTCCAGAGGCTCAGCGCTGCAGCGAAGGTTGGGTATTCTGCCGACGAGGGGACGCAGGAAAACACACTGGTGACTGCCATTGACAGCTGGCGAAGTTGGAGTAAGAGGAGGAACTTGAATGCTTTGCAAAGTTCGGGTGCTTGCGACTTGGTAGCTAGGATACTCTGAATGTGAGAACTTGAACTTGCTGAGGCTAGAAGAACAAGAGAACTCTGAATGTGGAGAGAAGCGGGAGTGTGGATTTGTAGATGAGGCGTAGTGGGAGAGAGGGGTGGTGGGGGGGGTCGTGGAGGGGAGAATGAAGAGACGGGCAGAACCAGCTCTGCCTCGCGCTGGTGCCGAGCCGAGTGGCTCCGATGATTTCTGAGGTTTGTGGTGACATGCTGCCCAGCCTGAAAATTTGGCTCATTCAAAATCTCCGGAACCAATCTACAAGCAGAACGGGTTTCCCGGTGGAGGTTCGGGAACGAGCTGCCACACGAGAACTTCATCCTCCGCTGCCCGTAGTGAGGGTGTCCTGTCTGCCCCCCCTGCGGTAACGCGGCTCCCCACGACAACCGTGAGGCATTCGCGGTGCGCTGGTGAAGGGCTCTTCGCAATTCGCGAATGGGGAAGACAGGCACTAGCGAGAAAAAAAAAACATCACATTTCGCCGGTTTCTAGAAACGGCGGCCAAATCCCGAGGTCCTGCCAAATCCCGAGGTCCTACCCATGAGTCACCTAGCCGCTGCGCGAAAACGTCGGTGCAAGAGAGCCACTGTCAGTCGAACATTGAAGCCATAAAGCTGCGAAACAATCGGAGGGATGAAATTGATGGGGATGCTGGCGGGTTATTGGACTAATAAAGATGAGGGAAAACACTCATGTAAAAATTCGTAATACAAATACTTGCAGTTCAATAACACAGACGGGGTGGATGAAGAAGTTCCATGCCAAAAGAGTAATTTGATAGATAAACATGCTTGATAGATTACATCTGCAACATTTCTATCAGGTACAATATGACCTTATGTTCTAATTACTATTAGATAAATAAACAGAAATATTACCGGGATAGGAACAAGGAATGGTTGCTCCTCATCCCAAAAACGGCAACTGCAGCACATGCAGCTGCTGCCACAATCAGCACCCCACTTGCGTACGCAGCTGTAGAGTCCCATGACCCAACACCCCACATGCTTTTATCCATAGAGTCACATGGCTGGCTTCGTGCACAGAAGCCACATTCTTCACTATGGCACCTCCGAATAGTCCCGCTTGCACCTTCACCTTCCCTTCCCCCTCCGCCATCATTACATGCGGTAATATCATGAGACTTAGCTCCAGATACATGCTGCTGCTGATGAGTGCGTGATGTGGAGGGATTAGGCGGCGGATGGGAAGAAGCAGGAGTGGATGGATGGGTAGCCATGGCAGTGGCAGGGAGGGCGTTGCTGGTGGAGGTGGATGTGGGTGCGGTTGAGCTGGGGAGGTGCTTGGAAGGGGTTGGTGCGTGTGAGGCGTCTGTGGTGTCTATGTATAGTCGTACGGGTGGCCGAGCCTGAAACGGATGAGATGAAGGAGGGGCGATGAGGAGAAAGGAGAGTCAGTCGGACATGGAGAGGAGACGGGAAACACGATGAATGGGTGAGAAAGGCAATACGGGAGGATGACCGAGAGGAGGAAGACAGAGAGAACGAGAGGGTCGAGGAAGAGAATATGTCGAGAAGTCCTAATCGTGAAGCAAGAACACAGCAAGGGCACATCATGTCATTCCATATCCAACTGTACCATATCTTACCGTACCGTGCCATCTGAGACCCTACTATACCACACTGTACCTGGGAGCGATGGCCAGCAGCTGCTGCAGAAGCAGCGAGGGCAACACGCAGGTCATCATCTGACTCCAGCACCACCAGATCACCATCCTCGTCCATGTACTGCCATGGGGGAGGAGGGGGGGGGAATGGGGTGGGTGGAACAGGTGCGAGTGGCGTTCAGCCTTTGGTAAGGGGCACAAGTCGAGAACAGCATCATCTGACGCCAGCACCACCAGATCCCCATCCTCGTCCATGTACTGCCATGGGGGAGGAGGGGGGGGGAATGGGGTGGGTGCAAGGTGGGGGTTCAGGTCTTGAAGAGAGGGCAGCGAGGGCAACACGCAGGTCATCATCTGTTATCAGGACCACCCAGGTCCCCATCCTCGTCTATGAATTGCCATTGCATGGTGGGCATACAAGAAGTAAAAAAATGCTACGGGAAACAGCCTGGAGTAGGGAGAGAATACTTTTGGTGTGTGTGGCAAGCTCGTGAGCAGGTAGCAATGGGAAGCAGAAGAGCAGAGAGCACATACGAGGACGGTGGGAGGGTGGGTGGGATCATAGTCCCATGCCAGTCGTGCTGCCACCGCACTCATCAGATCCGACAGCGACTCACAGGCTGCCACGTATACATGCATGGATAAGGGAGAGGGGGGTGAGGCGGGTTGAGGAGGGGGATGAGGGAAGATACGCATAAGACATGTGCTGGAAAAATGCTAAGGATGCATCATCTAAAGCTCGAACATACACCATCTCAGAGGACATGTAGTCTCAAGTCGCGTGAAACGCAGCAGCATTGTGCAGCTGGTCAGGGGCCAGGAGGTTGTGACATCAGTCACGCAACGTGGTGTGACCGATCGCATGGCATGGGTCAACATAACCAATGCACACGCACTGCATTTGAATCGGTGCACGTGCCCTCAGTGGTCAACGGAACCAAGCCAACATGCACCGAGATGCACGGTCACCCACCCCACGCCCATGCAGTCACAGCATATGAACTGGAGCATGAACAGCCACGTGGCCGCAGTGGTCGCAGTGGTCTGTGAGCTTGAACGGCAGCAAACAGCACATGCGCATCCCCCATGGCCTTCCAGCCAGCACAGGCAACAACAAACACCCCATGCCCAGCCACCCAGCACGTTCATCCACTCACCGCACATGAAGCGGTGCACGTGCCCACGGTGGTCCGTCAGCTTGAACGGCAGGAGAGCCGCGGACGAGCACACAGACGCACATGAGGGCGTGCTGCAGCTGCTGCTGCCCGTCGCAGGAGTTACCATTCCACGCGCAGTGGCAGTGGCAGGTCCAGCCGTGGCTGCTGAGGGTGCTGCTGCTGCTGCTGATGCAGCTGCTGATGAGAAAGGAGGGCCACGGAAGGGCGAGGAAGGTCCGGCTTCATTGGTGTTGATGTTGTTGTTGTTGTTGTTGTTGTTGTTATTGTTGTTGTTGTTGTTGCAGGGGGAAGAGGTGTTGGGACGGGGCACGTGCAGCAAGGGCAGCTGCTTTTGGAACCTTCTTGGGCTGTCAAGCACAAGCTGCTGTTGCTGCTCCCAGTGCTGCTGCTGGTGGTGCTGCTGCTGGTGGTGCTGCTGCTGGTGGTGCTGCTGCTGCTGCTGCTGCTGGTGGTGGTGGTGCTGCTGCTGCTGCTGCTTCTGCTGCTCCCAGTGGTGCTGTGACTGCAGCAGCTGTTGCTGCTGCACCTGCTGCTGCTGCTGCTGCTGCTGCTGCTGCCACATCTGCTGCTGTTGCCCCCCTCCATTCTGCATGGGCATCACGTGATGCGAGCCTGGCTGTCCCATGCCATGACCGCTGTTCATAGTCATCCCATTCGCATTATTCATTGCCATGTGCATAGCCTGCGGTGGTGCATACCCATTGCCATACCCAGCAGCACCAGCAGACCCACCAGCAGCAGACGCACCAGCTGCACCAGCACCCGTACCAGAAAACCCACCAGCACCAGCAGAAGCCATTCGCTTCCCTCCATAAAACCCTCCAGATCGATGAATCGTAGCAGAACCAGCTGCAGCAGCAGCAGCAGCAGCAGCACCAGCAGCACCAGCAGCACCAGCGGCACCGGCAGCAGCAGCAGCGGCAGCACCAGCAGGACCAGCAGCAGAGCGAGGGAAGTGAGGAGGGAAGCCACCAGCTATTGAGAGTTCCTCCCCTCCCCCCTCATACCCGTCCTCTGCATCCCCTCCCTCCCCCACTGTCCCTGCCTCTGTGTATATGTCACTCCATGAATCGAAGGTAGAGCGCGAAGCAGCACCAGTGACACCACCAGCAGCAGCAGCAGCAGAAGCAGCAGCAGCAGCAGCATCAAGTGCTGCATGATGCATATCAGAGGGATTCTGCCTCCTGTGCCCTCGACTACCCTCGGCCTCCTCCCTCCCCAAACCCTCTCTTCTCCCAACGCCCCTCCCAGCACCCCCCTCGCCCATAGACTTCCCTTGGCCGGATTTCCTGCTGCTACTGCTGACGCACTCACCCTTCCCCCTTCCCTCATCTGCACCTTCCTCCTCCCCCTCCCCCTCACTCTCCTCCCCTGACTCTCTTCCCCCTCCTCCTCACTCTCCCCTTCCTCTCCCTCGTCCTCCCCTTCCGCCCCTTCTAGAGCCGAGCCCCATACGTGCTGCATTGCCCCTTCCACTGCCTCCTTCGCGCTTGCAGGCAGTTGCTGCGCCTGCTGCTGCAGCGGAGGAGAGGGGAGAGGGGAGAGGGGAGAGGGGAGAGGGGAAAGGGGAGAGAATGATGGGGAGAGGGGAAATGGTGAGTAGGTTTCAACACACAAAAAGTGGACATTCTGGGAAATAAGATGTAAAAAAAAAAAAATTTGTAACTACCAGAGCATACAATTTCATGGACTAACACATGGACTAAAAGACTAGGCCATAACATGGACTAAAAAATTAGGCCATAACATGGACTAAAAGATTAGGCTACCTTTGAGGCATGTTAAAACAAGACGAGAGGAGATTAGGAAAGGGAGGAGCGGTGCGGTATGGGCGAAACGGTATGGGAGAGGTACCTGTAGGTGACGGCAGTGCTGGCCCGTGAAGAGAGCAGATAGGATGGGTGTCACACCCACACATGCCACACAGTTGCCGTCTGTAGAGGCAGTAACGTGGGGAAGAGTTAAGGGAAGGGAAGGGAAGGGAAGGGAAGGGAAGGGAAGGGAAGGGAAGGGAAAGGACAGGTTGAGGCGTTTCAAAGCGGTGGTGAGATGTGAAAAGAGCAGCGAGGATGGGCGTGACACCCACACATGCCACACAGTTGCCATCTGGCGGGGCAGTAGCGTGGGGAACGGGAAAGGAAGGGGAGGGAAGGGTAAGGGAAGGATAAGGAAGAGAGGTGAAGAGAGCAGAGAGGATGTGAGTGACCCCACACATGCCACACCATTTGCCGTCTGGCGGGGCAAATGCAGGGGGAAAAGGAGGGGAGAGAGGGCGGGAGAAGGGGAGAGAAGATGCGGGGATGGGGAGAGAGGGGGAGTTCTGAAGGGATTCAAGACAATGTTGGAAGGTGAAGAGAGAGGATCGGCGTCATATGCGTGTGCACACACACCCATAGCGCACGCATGCCCATGCGCATGTCCCAAACCCATGGCCATGCCTATGCCCATGCCCCATGCCCCATGCCCCATGCCCCATGCCCCATGCCCCATGCCCCATGCCCCATGCCCCATGCCCCATGCCCCATGCCCCATGCCCCATGCCCCATGCCCCATGCCCCATGCCCCATGCCCCATGCCCCATGCCCCATGCCCCATGCCCCATGCCCCATGCCCCATGCCCCATGCCCCATGCCCCATGCGCATGCCCATGCCCATGCCCCATGCCCCATGCCCCATGCGCATGCCTATGGCCATGCCCGTCCCCTCTAATGTGTCCACCCCTGCTCACCAGCGCCTGTGACGGGCAGGTGTGAGAAGCCTCCCCAGTCCATGCGACGCAGCGCGTGCAGCAGACACGAGCCGAGCGGGACTGTCACAGGGGCGTGTGTCATGGCCTGGGGAAGGTGGGAGGGGTGGGGGGAGGAGGAGGTAGACGCAGGAGAGGCGCGAGGGGGCCGTGGGAGACGAGAGATGGTAAGTTGAGAGGCGGTGAGCAGAGCAGGGCAGAAGAGAGAGAGAGGAGAGGAGAGGAGAGGAGAGGAGAGGAGAGGAGAGGAGAGGAGAGGAGAGGAGAGGAGAGGAGAGGAGAGGAGAGGAGAGGAGAGGAGAGGAGAGGAGAGGAGAGGAGAGGAGAGGAGAGGAGAGGAGAGGAGAGCAGAGGAGAAGAGAGCAGAGGAGAAGAGAGCAGAGGAGAGAGAGCAGAGGAGAAGAGAGCAGAGGAGAAGAGAGCAGAGGAGAAGAGAGCGGAGAGAGAGCAGAGGAGAAGAGAGCAGAGGAGAAGAGAGCAGAGGAGAAGAGAGCAGAGGAGAAGAGAGCAGAGGAGAAGAGAGCAGAGGAGAAGAAGAGAGGAGAGAGAGGAGAAGAGAGGAGAGGAGAAGAGAGCAGAGGAGAAGAGAGCAGAGGAGAAGAGAGCAGAGGAGAAGAGAGCAGAGGAGAAGAGAGCAGAGGAGAAGAGAGCAGAGGAGAAGAGAGCAGAGGAGAAGAGAGCAGAGGAGAAGAGAGCAGAGGAGAAGAGAGCAGAGGAGAAGAGAGCAGAGGAGAAGAGAGGATGGCAGCACAGAGTAGCACAGAGGGGAGAAGCCTGTGGAGCAGCAAAGCAACCACCTGACGGGGTCACCAGTGGGGGATAGGTAACATATGGTCGCTCACGCTCACCTGCTCCACGAGCACTGCACTGGGGTCCAAACCAGCAGCGATGACGCGCAAGAGAATGTCCCGCGAGCTGGCAGAAGGGAAGGATGGGACAGAGGGGGCAGAGGGGGCAGAGGGGGCAGAGGGGGCAGAGGGGGCAGAGGGGGCAGAGGGGGCAGAATGGGCAGAGGGGGCAAACACGGGAGGAGAGGATGACGTTAGCGAGGCGGGGAAGACACGGGGAAGCGTTATGAGACGAGGGTAGCGAGCTGCAGTGCGGCAGTGCAGAGTAGTGACGATTCGCGGGTTAGCGAGGCGTAGCGTGAGAAAGGGCTGCAGGTGGTTTCAGTTGACTTAAAAATGTGAAAAGGGACAAGGCGAGGTGCAGCGAAAGGGAGGCAGCGAAACTTGGGAAAACGAAAAGTGGTCGGGAGATGCGCGAAGAGTGAGGAGGATACGAGGGATGGTGGAGGGTAGTCGAGAGAAGGAAGCGCCAGGAAGAAGGAAGGAAAATATCCCAGAATACGGGATTATCCCTCAAGAAGGAGAAAATGGCAACCACAAGAACTATGGGAATTATGGGAGTTTTTTCAGCTACGACTCACGTCAATATCCCGCACACTTCCTTCACCACCACCGCTCCACGCTCCCTCCCCCTCCCCGCTGCTGCCGCTGCTGCTGCTGCTGCCACTGCTGCTGCCGCCATCGCCCTTGCCGCCGCCGGAGCTGCTACTGCCGCTGCTTCCCCTGCTCCCGCGCCCCGACGCGCACTCTCCGCCGTGCGCCCGCGCGCGTTGCTGCTCTTGCGCCTCCGCGTGCGCCTGCGCCTGCGCCTGCTCTTGCGCGTGCGCGGGGTCACATTGGTGGTCGTAGTCCGATACAAGCACGGCCGTCACGCCGTGCGCGCGCATCGCCTTCGCGGCCGCCGCCACCGTGTCCGTTGTCCGCACCGCCGCGGGCCTGGCGCGCGCGCGCGCGGCGGGGAGAGGTGTTGGGGGAGAGGGGTGGGGGGAAAGAGTTAGGGGCAGGGGCGGGGACTGGGGGGGGGGGCGGGTGGGTGTACCTTCCAGAAAAGGGAGAGGGGAAGGTGAGAAAGAGAGAGCGAGAAAGAGCGAGAGAGAGGGAGCGGGAAAGAGCGAGAGAGCGGGAGCGGGAAAGAGCGAGAGAGCGGGAGCGCGTGCGCGGACCTTGTGTTTGGCGCCAAGAGCGCTTCCATGGCGGGACGCGTGACGTTGTCGCACAGCGCACGGAGAACGGCTGCACGCAGCACGGGCGACGGGAGGGAGAGTCGGTAGATGAGGAGAACGAGAGACACGATGACGGTTAGATAGACAAGATGGCGCCGTCTCACAGCGCACGGAGAACGGCTGGATGCAGTACGGGCGACGGGAGGCAGGGAGGGAGGGGGAGAAGAGCGAGAAGGAGAGCAAATAGACGGACGGATACACGGAGGAAAACGGGTTAGAGAAAAAAGGAAACGAGTGAGGGGAATGAGGGAAGGGTCTGAACGTGTGTGCAGTACGGTTGAGGAAGCAAATGACTGCAAAAACGGGGACCGGAAAGAGACGGAGCAGAAACGGAGAAGAAACGGAGAAGAAACGGAGAAGAAACGGAGAAAGAAACGGAGAAGAAACGGAAGAAGAAACGGAGAAGAAACGGAGAAGAAACGAAGAAGAAACGGAGAAGAAACGAGAAGAAGAAGCCTCGCCAGCGCCACGCACCAGCAGCCGTGCCGTCGCCCCTTCCCGTCCGCTCCGCCTCTTTCAGTGCTTCCGCCACATCTGCGCCCTTTCCCCGCACTTCCTCCGCGCGCAGCAGCGCTTCCGCCAGGCAGCTGCGCACGGGCAGCATCGCCACCACCTCCCCGCCGTCCACCACGGGCAGGTGCCGAAATTTTCCTGCGGGCAGCCGAGAAATGCAGCAATTGGAACGCGAATCGGGGTTAGAAACGGGCAGAAAGCGAGATGTCGTTGACAAGCGAGAATCAACAGACCATGGCGCGCGGAGAAAAACAGATGGGAGGAGCGCGGGGGAAAGGAGGAATGGGGGGAGAGGGAAGATGGGGGGTTAGAGGGGGGATGGGGGGGAGGGGGAGTCTGGGTAAAGGAGCGAAGGTGGGCGGCTGCGGAGGCGGAAACTACAGAAAGAGTGCGGATGAGGGGGGAGGCTGATGGAACGGCAGCACGAATTCCGCCTAGGCGGAAACAGGTAGCTAGTGCACCCATGGCATCCCGCGCCGTTGCGCCTGCGCTTTGCGCGATTGCGGCGGTGCGCCATTGCGGCTTGCGGCTTGCCCCTTGCCCCTTGCGTCATTGCGGCTTGCGCCTTGCCCCTTGCGCCATTGCGACTTGCGCCTTGCCCCTTGCGCCTACCGTTGACCATTTTCTTCAGCGCGGCAGCAGCGGGCGCGTGTAGCGACACGAACAGCGGATCGCGCGTCATGACCGCGTGGCACGGCGTGGATTGCGGGGAGCGCCCCTCCCCCACGCACCGCTCCGCCACGTCGCGGTCCGTCAGTATCCCGCACAGCATGCCGCTCTTGGCGTCCGTCAGCAGACACGCGTCCACGTGGCGGGCTGCCATTCGCCGACTCGCTTCCGCCACTGTGCAGGCGTCCGCGAGGATGAGCGCGCGGACAAGCGCAAGGTCGCGGACAAACTGGCGCGCGGGGCTGAGAGGGGGACGAATCGGGGGAAAGAGGGAGGGAAAGGGTGGGGAAAGAGGGGGAAGGGGGGGAGGGGGAGGAGGCGGGGGGGAATAAGGGAAAGGAAAGAGGGTGGATGAAGATCAACGGACGAGAGGAATCCATGCGAACGCGAAACGAGAACCAGGGAGCAAGCGTTTCAACAAGATCTCAAACGGCCGTTCGAGAGAAAGAAAGGGGCGCGCGGGTGTGAAAGAAACAAGGGGAGTGATAGAGAGGCACGCGAAACGCTGACAACTGCGCAGGTAGACGCCCTGCATGGTTGCGGAGAGATGGGGCGGGCTCCGCATTCACTGATATCGCGCGGAAGTGAGGAGCGGAAAGACGGACGGCCAAGTCGGATTCACGGGGAGGAAGGGAGGCAGGGGGGGGGGGGGGGGGGGGGTGGGGGTGGCGGGGGGAGGGGGAGAGGTTGCATGGAGAGCGGAGTGTGGGCGGAACGCCACGCGCTATGAGATTGCTGTCTAGAGGGACAGACCCTCATTCCCGTCTCATCGATGCTGTGTGCTGGTCCTGACTGAATGTGTTAGTGATGACGACGAGATATCACGTGTGCGGATAGCGAGGAAAGGAGCTATGATATATGGGCTGTGAAGTATGGACTATGAGCTAATAAGCTAATAAGCTAATAAGCTAATGAGCTAATGCGCTAATGCACTAATGCACTACGAGCACACTGTGTCCCGCACCCGATCTTCGCGCAGCTGTCCGCTAGCGCCGCTACTCTTGCAAGGAAGATTCGCCGCATCCGCGAACCCCTGCCTCTCGTCCCGCTTTTACCTTTCCTGCTCCGTGCCCTCGTGTTGCCTCTCGTGCTCCTTCGACGACTGCTCATGCCGCCCGCCAGAATCCACACCGCCATTTACACCAGAATCAACAACGTCGGTAGTGATATTTTTAGTATTAGAAGCTAGATCGCGGAGGCTGTCGGCGGGCCATTGCGCATCTGCCGCCGCACTCGACGGCGACGACGGTGGGGTCAGTTCAAGCGCGGTGCTGCTACCAAAACCGCCGCTCCCCGGGGCTCTTCTCTCCGCCGCTCCTCCCGCACCCGCGCCGCTGCCGCCGGCTTCGCCGCGATTCGCGGCAGAGCCGTCCGTCCAGCCGTACGCGGCGTGGTGCATCGCGACGGCATCGTGAACGATGCTCGACGACGCGGGGAGGCGAAACGGCGTCTTGTACGGAGAGGCGGAGAAGTTGGCACCGCGCGGACTATAAGTAGCGCGGGGAGAGCCAGCAGTCGTAGGTGGCAAGGGCGTGCTTTCTGCTAAGGCGTCGGACACAGATAGCGCGTGGCACGGCGGCATCTTCGCATGAATTCGACGATTTGTTGGGAACCCTTGGATCTTTCACTTTGTTTGTGCTTTGGACGATACTGTATCGATTGTGCTTGTTTGTGGATGATAAGCTAGGGTGGAGCACTGGCTTCTAGTGACACCCCATCGCCAGACGACTTGCTTTCTTGCCGACTGCGCTGCACCGCCTCTCACGAATCACAACAGCAAAGCCGCACTATTTCTCGGCACGAATCTACAGTGTTCTCTGTTCTCGCACATGCGCTCCCCCGCGAGCACCCAATACTGTACCCCTTGCGCGCACCTGAAGACCTGGCCGCCGAACCCGAACCAGTCTTGTCAGTACTGTACAGCACTTAGTGCAACCAGGCCAAGCCAGAGCGCGCTCAACCGAACCCCTTAGGCTGGTTCGACAGAGATTTGATTCAGGTTCGGCTGAGCCAGAGCAAGGTAGAGTCAAGCCCAGCGGCGGTTTCACAAGGGCCGAGCCTCCAGCTAACACCCAACAAGCGGATGTTGAAGGGCAGAAGGGGGAAAAAAGGGGAGGGGAGGGGGAAGGCAAGCTGGTCCCCCCCACCACCAGGAGAACGAACGTGCAGCTGATCAGCGCGATTCGAGGAATTCACCCACATGGACAAGTCAGCAAAGTCACGGCCTCTGATGGGCTGAAGCCAGCGTGCAGCATTGCTGGCCCCAATGCCACGAGGGGGTAGAATGTTGGGTTCTGCCAGCGCATGCTTGCGCTTTCACACGTGGAGACTACTAAGAGGAGGCACTTTCCCATAGATCAGATCGGGGTGGAGCCGCTGCGACAAGCGGCGTCTGCTGTTCTGAAGGGAGAAGTCTCGGACTGCTCTGTGTTCAGTACACCTGAGACAAGAGATACACATGAATTCTCGTTATGGTGGCATTCTCAGCGGTCAGTTTGGCTAAAAATCTGGCATCATGGTACTACTTGATTAGTTGAACTAGTTTCTAGTATGTTATTACTAAATGATATGTATTCAAGAAACTCAAAATGAGAAACGCAGGGCTGCAAATTGTTGGCAATCTATTGTCTGATTATGTGTTTCTGCTGTGTTCTGCAATAACTGGTATCATAGCCGCAAGAGTAAGACAGGCAGTTTATTATCTATCCTAACAAAGCGCACCAAGCTGAGCACCTCTGTGCTAGCTACAACTGGTTGGTCAGCTGACTATACACGCCGGCACGAACACTACGTAGGTAATACTCGTACAATTAAATGGGAGCAACGCGACATGCAGACGGTAACCGGACCGACAGAACACAGTTCTCTTGTCGTGAAATCACAGGTTGGAGCGGCAGCAAAGAGCGAGAAGAGAAGAGGAACTTAATAATCATACATCAGTCAAATCTAACCGATTTGCAGCAGCACTTTCCAAAGCCTGTCACCCCTTCTGGGGCCCACGGCATATGTGCAACAGTTCCTCGTCTCTCCTCAGACCATATCTCCTCCCTTGCGTCTCCCAGGTGCATCCAGAACAAGCACCCGTTGGCTTGCTGAAGCTGAAGCTCCTAAGGCCGGTACGCCCTCCGCAGCCACACCCGACTGGACTTGCAACATCAAATCAAATCAAATCAGCCCCAGAAGCTTCTGGTGGGCGTGGGGAGCGTGACGCTCTTAGTGGCGGGGACCTTGGGCGGCTGCTGGGCCTCGGAGGCGGGTGTGGGTTGCAGGAAGCGGAAGTGCGGGTCGCGACGAAGCTCGGGCGGCAGAGGCACCTCGTCCAGGTTGATCTCTCCCATGGATGCTACCAGGTCCGTGATGGCGAAGGGTACACTGCACAGGGGTACAAGGAGAGAGGATGGTTTGGGTGGGGTGGGGTGAGTGGAAACGATGCCCCCTGGGTTGATCTCTCCCATGGATGCTACCAGGTCCGTGATGGCGAAGGGTACACTGCACAGGGGTAGAAGGAGAGAGGATGGTTTTGGGTGGGGTGGGGTGAGTGGAAACGATGCCCCCTGGGTTGATCTCTCCCATGGATGCTACCAGGTCCGTGATGGCGAAGGGTACACTGCACAGGGGTACAAGGAGAGAGGATGGTTTTGGGTGGGGTGGGGTGAGTGGAAACGATGCCCCCTGGGTTGATCTCTCCCATGGATGCTACCAGGTCCGTGATGGCGAAGGGTACACTGCACAGGGGTACAAGGAGAGAGGATGGTTTTGGGTGGGGTGGGGTGAGTGGAAACGATGCCCCCTGGGTTGATCTCTCCCATGGATGCTACCAGGTCCGTGATGGCGAAGGGTACACTGCACAGGGGTACAAGGAGAGAGGATGGTTTTGGGTGGGGTGGGGTGAGTGGAAACGATGCCCCTGGGTTGATCTCTCCCATGGATGCTACCAGGTCCGTGATGGCGAAGGGTACACTGCACAGGGGTACAAGGAGAGAGGATGGTTTTGGGTGGGGTGGGGTGAGTGGAAACGATGCCCCCTGGGTTGATTTCACCCATGGATGCTACCAGGTCCATGATGGCGAAGGGCACACTGGGGAGGGATGCAGGGGGGATATGGTTGTGTAAGAAATGAGAATTCTCAGAGGCAGCAGAGGCACCTTTGTCCAGGTTGATCTCCCCCATGGATGCTACTAAGTCCGTGATGGCGAAGGGTACACTGGGGAGGGGAGAGGATGGGGCCCAGAGGGGGCATGTTGGTATCAATATTGAGAGTTGTGAAAGCCAGCAGGGGCACCTCGTCCAGGTTGATCTCTCCCATAGATGCTACTAAGTTTGCGATGGAGAAGGGCACACTGGGGTAGCAGAGGCAGCAGAGGCTCGTCGTCCAGGTTGATCTCCCCCATGGATGCTACCAGGTCCGTGATGGCGAAGGGCACACTGCACAGGGGCACAGGGGCACAGGAGTACAGAGAGGGAGGATAATTTTGGGTGGGGTGGGGTGAGTGGGATTGATGTCGCCTGGGTTGATCTTCCCCATGGATGGTACCAGGTCTGTGATGGTGAAGGGCACACTGGGGAGGGGACGGGTACAGGGAAGGGGATGCTTGGGTCACTTTTGGGATTTTCCAAAGGCAACAGCGACACCTTGTCCAGGTCAATCCACACACTCCCGTGCATGCCCACCCATGCTCCATTGACACCCCACTCCCTGACCCCACCCTCCCACCCCCCCCACTCCCCATGCTCTCCCACCCCTCTTACCTCTCGTCATCCTTGAGCATTTCAGCATCGTCATCATCCGCCAGGTCGCTGAGCTCCCCTCCCCACCTTCCCAAAACCCACTCCCATGCAACCCCCTCACCCCACCCTTCACCCCTCTCACCTCTCTCATCCTTGAGCATTTCAGCATCGTCATCCGCCAGGTCACTGAGCTCGTAGTTCACATCGGGGACAATGCACATGCACAAGCGCACACAGCAAGCTCACAACCCACTGCACCCTTCCGCACCTCTCATCATCCTTGAGCATCTCAGCGTCGTCATCATCCGCCAGGTCGCTGAGCTCGTAGTTCACATCCGGATCGAACCCGAGGGTGCCGTACTTCTCGTCCTGGTACCAGAGGCAGATCTTGCCCAGCTGCTTGCCGTTCAGGTCCGGACACAGCTTGCGTACGTCGTCCACCGTCGCCCTGTGCTTATTCTTCATCGTCTGGAGGGAGGGAGGAAGAGCAGGGGCGCAAAGAAAGAGGGGGACAGAGAAGGAGGGGGGAGAGGAGAGGTAGGGCGCTTGAGCCGCCTCAAAAGTTACCGCATGTCGTCCACTGTCGGCCTGTGCCTGTTCTTCCTCATCTGGGGAAGGTGGGAGTGGGGAGAGGGGGAAAAAATTGACAAGGACAGAGGATGAGACGGAGCCCTTTGAGTCGACTCAAAACTCGTCTCACTTTGTTCTCGAAAATTCTCGAAAACAACCTGCAACTCGACTCATGCAGTTCACTGTCGGCCTGTGCTTGTTCTGCATCATTTGGCCCAGTGTGCAGCAGGGTTAGCAGTGTGTAGTGCTCTTGAGGAACACTTGGACAGTATCACAAGAAGATGCAAAGGAAAGGAAGTACAGGGGGAATGCCATGCCAGCAGGGAAAGGAAGACAAACCAGTCTTACCAGCAGCAGCGCGGCCTGCCGGACATGGCACAGGCTGTCCTTGAGGCCAGGCAGCTCCCCCTGAGCGCGCTTGGCGTGGCTCATCTCCAGGTCTGTGAGCCAGCGGTCCAGCTTGCCCATGCCCTCCTCTATCGTCTCCCCGTTGCTGAAGTTGCACGGACACCACTGGCTGCGCACCATCAGGCTGCGGTGGGAGGAAGAGGGGGGGGGGCGGGCGAGAGGCGGTGGGAGGAAGGGGGGGGAGAGAGGAGGTGGTAGGGAAAGGAGGTGGTGAGAGAATCAAGGACCCCGTTGTTTGAGTTGCACGGACACCACTGGCTGCACACCATGAGGCTGCGGTGGGAAAGCAGCGAGGGCAGAAGAGGGGGATGTGGGAGGGGCAGCAGGGGGAAGTAAGGGACTGAAGGGACCTCATGCGCCATTCCATGCCAAATGCCATCCCCGTGTTCTCCACGTCACATTCTCACGCCCCAAAAATGAGACCGTGGAGTGGGGCACCCTTCTTCTTAGGCTGAGATGAGACCTTGGGACGGTGGAACATCTGGTGTTGGAGAGAGAAATAGATTAAACCTGGCGTTGGACACCTTGCTGCAGCGCAGCCACCAGATGCCCCTCGTTCTCCTCTGAGAGTTGAGGGTGCACTTCCAGTTTTCCCCCGTCACCTCCCTCACCTGTTGAACACCCGAGATCCACGTAAGACAGCAGCTGCCTCAGCACGTGCTGAATCAGAAACACCGGCACGTGGTTATCCTCCAGTGCAGCCACCATGTGACCCACCATGGCCCCCTTGTTCGAGGCATTTATCAAGAACCTCCATACAACGCCTGTCACAGCCCATCCCCGACACACACACAGCCCCTTTCCCCCTCAACCACCTACCCACCTCCCCCACACAACCCCCTGTCCCCCGCCCCAATCCCATCCCATTCTGCACCTGTTGAACACCCGTAGATCAACGTAGGACAGCAGCTGCCGCAGCACGTGCTGAATGAGGAACACGGGCACGTGGTTATCCTCCAGTGCAGCCACCATGTGACCCACAGTCTCCAGCACGTTTCCCCAGTAGTCCAGCATCTGCCGCCGCATGCTACCCGCAGAGCGCGGCAGGGACGATCGGTCGCCCCCTGAAGAGCCGCCGCGGGAGCGGGGGGAGCGAGGGGTTGGCGTGGCTGACGCCTTGCGGGGGGTCTGGTTGGGAGGGAGAAGGTGTGGGGGAGGGGAGAAAGGGTGGGGGAGGGAGAAAGGGTGGGAGGGGGAGAAAGGGTGGGGGAGGGAGAAAGG